TGAAAACCACATTTACGGTATTAAGCATTTTTGTAAAATAGCTGTGAGTAGCCTTGGAGTTCTTTTAGCCTATGAGCAACATTTTAAAAGATTGCTTCATTCCAACAATTTTCTGATTTTCTCAGGACCAAGAGACTGATTAAAATAAATGAGCAATTAAAAAGTATGTTTCCTTTTTTAAAGTAATAGTTTGCAAATACCATAAAAAAAAAGAAACATTTCATGCCTTGAATGATGGTATATTGAATTTAGTATTATTTACATGGTGAAAATATGAGATCTATATTTATAGAAAATGGTTTAGGTAATTTAATTTGAAGTTCCAATTTTAGCATGAAGTACCTTCAGGGTTTTATCTTTAATTAGTATGATTAAATTATATATAGGTAATTTCTGTCCAGTAGATGCTTATCTGTACAAATTGCAAAAAGAATAAGTTTGTTATCATTTAAGCAAAACGGTAAAGAGATAACGGATCAAAATGGATACATTCATCTTTTCTAAAACCAGACTAACAGACATAAATAAATATATTTTGAACTGATACCTGTCTGCTTAATCAACCCTATAGAGTCATTAAGACTTCCAGTGTTTCACTTACTGTGTGACTATCTATGCAACTGCTGCAAATTGCAACGTCAGGATTCTGTTTTGTTTAGTTTTTCCAGAGAGCAATATGTTTTTATTTTGGTCCACTAAGTGGATTGCAAAAAGCAAAATTGCTTTTGTAGCTTATTCTGTACCAAATAATGGAGCAAAAGGAAATCACTATTAGCCTCTCAAAGTGTAGGCCTTATATGCTCACCCTTAGTTCTTTTACCTTGTCTGTCCTGAGTTGTTGTCCTTTGGAGCTGGATTTCTTCCAATTTCTTGGATGTAATCATTTTCCAGAACAATTTTTTTCACAGTAAAGCTTAGCAGCCAGCTCTGGTTTGGGAAGCTGCAGAACAAGGAATAAGAGTTGGGTTCCTTTGCAGCAAACTAGAGTTGAAGATCTTACTCAGTGCAGGTAGTTCTCGCTTAACAACTGTAATTGGGACTGGGATTTCTGTCACTAAGCAAAGTGGTCATTAGGTAAAACATCACATAACTGCTGCTTAGCAACAGCAGTTCCAGTAGTCCTGGTTGTGATCATTAGGTGAGGACCGTGCTGTCATTAGGTGAGGACCTCATGCTTCTCCTACCCTGTGCAAACTGCTGGCTCCATCCTACTACCTCCTACCCAGCTGGGCCCAGTGAACTCCCTTTGGCAAATGAGGCTCCACTGCCCTGCTGCACTTGCCATGCATATCCTGGGGCCATGCCCTTGCCTAACACCTAAATCCCGGGCCAGCAGTGAGAGGAAGAAGATGATGAAGGTCAGCTGAGGGCAGCAGGGGGTGGCAGGGGTGAGCAGCAATGGAAGAGTACAGAGCAGCCAAAAAGGCAGAGATGGGGGGAGATAGGCAGGTGTGGGGCATTGAAGTGTGTAAATGTGGGCCAAGTGCCTGAATTTTGATCACATGACCATGGGGGTACCGCAGTGGCCTTAATCTCAAGGACCAGTTGTAACTACCATTCATTCATTTGTAACTTCAAACGGTTGCTGAATGAATGGCCATTAAGTGAGGTTATCTATAGTGTGTTTGATGAGGCTCCCTGAAATAAAACTCCTTTGGTTTTGGTTGGTCTTTTAGAGATTATTACCCTTACATAAGAATTCTAAGTCTAGTCTGCTGTTTCACCAGAGGTACAGGTAATCCTCGTTTAGTGACTGCCTTGTTTAGTGACCATTCATAGTTACGACAGTGATGAAAAAGTGACTTTACTATATTTTTTTATTAAGGATTTTGATTATAATAATAAAAACTAATACAAACTAAACTTAAAGAAAAGAGAATAGAAAGAAAAAAAGTGCAAGAAAAAGAAAGAAGAAACAAAAGAAAGAATATAATGAAGAAGAAGAAAAGAAATATATAAAGAAGTGATTTCCAACCTTCATTATAACAGGTATAGACAAATTGAGTATCTCTTCACCTCCTATAGAGTTACAAACAGATATCTCTTCATCCCATATCTCATCCCTTATCTATAAGCAAATCCATAAAACATCACCTTTTCAATCCTGGTGTCAGCAAAAAGTCCATAAAAAGTTGCCAGAGCTTTGCAAACAATGTCTTATTTTAACCTTGATCAAATAAATCAGCTTTATATTCCTTCCTTTTACTTCTGATAGTCTTAATCTTTAATCCATTCAAATATTGTCATAGGATTTGATTTCTCTTCAATTCCTTACCCCATTGCACAGAGTTCTTCAAGAGTTTAACAAGCCTCTTTTGTAGATCCAATAAGAAAATATTTTTCAGGTCATTCTCTTGGTTTGTCATTTGCATTTCCCCTTTAAATTTTAAAACTTCAGCCAGCTTCCTTTATATAGCCAGTAAAGTGTCCTTTTCCAAATCATTCTATTGGCTTGTCATTTGTAGTGCCACTTTTGGTACCTTCTCTGTCTTGTCAGACAAAATTTGTTCCACACCTGTCATTCCCTCATTAACATCTTTTGGACATAGTCTATCCAGAGTCAGACATCATTATTGTTGATATTGTAGCTACTAATTTCTGGCTCCATTCTTCAAAGATCTCCTTTAATATTTCCAGTATTATGATGTTTTCTGTCATTTTGTAAATCCCAATACTAACCAATACCAAAAGTAGGCTTCCCCCCGCTTCTTTAGTTCCCTCTAGTGTCCAGTTTCTAAAATCATAAAGTTGCTTACCTTTGTTATGACTTACAATAACCTAAGATAGCCAAGATAAATCTGATTCCCATGAGAAGCTATTTATTTTTATAGTTAATTCCAAAATCTTATAGTAAAAGTCAATATTACAAATTTACCTGGACCTTTAATCCATTTATAACTTTCTTAGATCAAAATCTTATTTAGCTCTTTGTTGTTTATTTCAAATTCTTTAAGTTCTTAAGTGTATAATTATTTTTTCTTTTGTTCAGAGTTGAAGCTAAACTCACCCGCTGACTTTTCAAACTTGTCATTTTGAAGGTCTCTGCCACAGTTGTGAGCAAGATAGCTAATCCCTATGTCTCCCAGGGCTCAAACCCACAGAAGACAGCTGTTTTGTGGTCTCCTCACGAGAAGCTACTGTCTGGAACACATATGGGTATTATCTAATCTTCTTGTCCTGAGCGGATCCAAAGAACTGGTCTACTGACTGGTTCTTCAGTCTTTGCCATGATTGTCAGCTCCACTTTGATGGAGATGTCTTCAGTTTGCCATGCCTCCCCCGGAAGTTCATGAAAAAGTAACTTTACAACAATTCTTGCGTTTATGACATTTGCAGGTCTGCAAAGCAAAGGAAAGCTGAAGTAACATCATAAGCACAGTTGCGGTTTCGCTTAGCGACCACTTCACTTAATGACTGATTGCCAGTCCCAATTGCAGTCATTAAACGAGGACTACCTATATCTCCTGTTTTTAGTCATGCTGAATATTGTTGGAAGTTAATGAAGGCAGGCAAATGAAAATAACCTACAGAGAAAAAGATACCTATTATCATTTGGGAAGCTGGAAGACCACTGAAGTACACTTGGGAGGCTTTTTAAAAAAAGTTTGGTTTTGGCCCAGAATCCTCCAGAAAGAGAATTCTGAATCCACTTCATAATTTTTTTTCATCTTTTCTAGAAGCTCTGAGAGTGGAAATTGGATCTTCACACATTTACAATTTGGTGTTGGATCAAGTTATATGAGAAAATCTGTGGTCCTGTCTTGCTGCTTTTGTCAGGAAAGCTTTCCTCCCCCTCCTCCTCCTCCTCCCCCTCCCCCTCCTCCTTTCTTCTCTTCCTTTTTTTTTTTTTTTTTTTTTTTTTTTTTTTTT